AGATTGAAAATTGCTGGGTCCACTAAAACACGTTGATTTCCATTCTACCCGCTCCAAGGCTAAGCGCTCAAGGGTGTTATGTGGTATATTGACAGCTGACAAGTTGCTTTTCAGCTTGTCTTTGTATCTTAGCCATCGGCGTCCTACATTCCTGTAGCCCTGATCTAACTGGCTGTACATTAGGATCTTGGGTATCCTGTCATCAGACATTCTCAAGACATGATCAGTCCACCGTAACTGAGACTCTATGAGAAAAGTCTCGATTCCTCCAATATTACACCTGTTAAACAGGTCTACGTTAGAAGTCCTATCTTGAAGCTTAACTACACAGATTGCACGCAGACATCTAGCTGGCGTATATGGTACCTGTATGGAGTCCATGACTCTGAGCCATACAAAAGGATGGCAAGTACAACAGCTCTGTAAACCCGAATTTTCGTATCCAGTCGAATACTCCGCTCATTCCACATGCGATGGCGAAGTTTGCCGAAAGCACTGGTAGACTTAGCAATCCGATGCATGATTTCATCATCTAAAGTTCCACTGTAATTGACTTTGCTACCAAAATAAGTGAAAGACTTTACATAGTTCAGGGGTTGGTCTTCTACTTTCAATGGTCTTATATATATATACATATATATATATATATATATATATATATATATATATATCTTACTTATTATAAAACGCAGATGGTGTGTGTGTGTGTGTGTGTGTGTGTGTGTGTGTGTGTGTGTACGTTTATATATTGGATCGGATTTCCTACATTTTTCTACCGATTTCAACAAAACTTCACAGCACTGCGTAAAATTACCTTGCGGTGGTTCTGACAGCGCCAAAAATTGGAAAAACACAATTGTTTTTGCACGAAATCAATTTGAAAACACGATAAAACACGATTCTGTCGCCAGAATGAAAGGGGGACAACTCATATCGTGTTATACTTACAAAACCCAGGGTGTTTGTGTGTGTGTGTGTGTGTGTGTTCGTTTATATATGGGATCGGATTTCCTACATTTTTCAACCGATTTCAACAAAACTTTTTTTGGCAGATAGTGTTTCTTATTGTGTTGCACACTTTTTTCTTTATTTCTACATTCAGAATGCTTTAAAAATTCCATTTACAAGACAATTGTTTTTAATAAAATTCTATTCAATCGGTAGACTCATAACGATTGAAAACAATGTTTTTGTTTGAGTTTGGGTTTGAACAATTCGTTAAAAAAAAAAAAACTAATTGAGACATGCGTGTCCGTCAACCTCAAACAATAATCTCGATGCTTGATCTATCTCTTACTGTTACATCCCCGGGCAACGCCGGGCTCTACTGCTAGTATATATATATATAAGGCTCAAATAATAATATTTCATGGTTATAATTTATTACATTGGAATCGTAATCACGATCCAATTCATCAGACATATATATATATATATATATATATATATATATATATATATATATATATATATATATATATATATTCTTCGGAAACTACTACTCGCCTGTACCAAAAAGCCCCATTTTATGGTCATAATAGCAACACCTACATCCAAAGAAATGGCATCAGCATGGGAAACCCATTAGGCCCTAGTCTCTCTAACTTTTGTGTTGAAAACAAAGTGTTTAAAACATCTGAAGAAACAAAAGGCTACACAAGGTACGTTGACAACAATTTTGTTTACTTAAATAAGGACTAAATTATAAACCTAAAACAAACTTTTGAAAAAAGTCAACGCTAAAATTTACATATGAACTCGTGGTTAATAACAGAATCCCATTTCTTGATGTTGATATAGAACTAAAATCCAAAGAATTTACCACTTACCCGTATAAAAAAAAAAAAAAACACCAGTACGAACTCTTGTATTTGAAACTAAGACCGTCAATAACCAGGTAACAGTGATAAAAATCTTCTTAAATAGACCAGACCAAAATTGCTCTTCGTAAAGAATATTTCTGAGCAAACTAAAACATATAAAACAATAATTTTCGCAACTACATCATTGATAACCAAATAAGATAATTCTTACAAAAAACGACACCGGTAATAAAAATAACACACAACGAATCAACATATTTTATTGCAACCAGATGTACGATAATTATTAGCAAAACGAATTTGCAATACGAAAAATCATTGAACACCTTATCTCTATTGTAATTCCCGAAAAACGTACAAAAATTATAGTATATGACAAAAAAAATAGAAAACTGCAAATCTTGTAATTAACAATCAAAATAAGCGCACCAAATCTAAACTGGCGATGACTAATACAGTGTATTAGTTTCACTGCAGAATACAAGTGTGTTTCTTGTCATTAATCAATTACCTATATCTGACATCCGACCACCACCTCGAATAGATGCATCGCTTGTCACTTATCAGAGCAAATACGCTATACGAAAAATCATTAAATACCATATCGCCTCAGTGAAAAGACTTGTAAAATCGTAAAGAAATTTAATTTTTAATAAAGTTAATTGACATATAAAAATAGTTAAATTTGTTTTATTGAATTATTTTTATGCAAAATATTTTAGAATTTCGATTTACTTTATTAAAAAACAAATTACATTTACAATAATTCAAAACAAGAAACTGTTTCATATATTAGATAACGCCTTTTAAAATGCCTTATTTATAGAAAAATAATCGCTAATTAAGGTTTTAATCTTTAATAAATTACTTTTATTCGGTTATTGGCAATTTGTGGTTTTCTTGTGCTCTTTTGCCTCAGTCCTAAACTGTCTCGACGCTCAGTCGACGGTGTTGAGTCGACGGTGTTGAGTCAATGGTGTTGAGTCAACGGTGTTGTGTTGACGGTGCTGAGTTGTCCCTTCCTGTAAATATTGCCAGTATGGTCATAGATGAGGACTTTAGTTATGCAGGCGTGTAGAAATTTCTTAAGAATATTTGTTTTGATGGATGGAGGTGGAATCAAGTTTTGTTTAAGTCCTTGGTTTGGTTGTGTTGCTTTAAGGGTTCACTGAAATTTGTGAGTGGATTTGATACTATAATTGTTAGGTAGATATAGAGTAATATGATTGCGGATTTTTGATAAATAAGTGTTGGTATCTGTAAAATGATGGGTCGTAGTGTGTATTAAGATTAATATATTTTAACATTTTTTGTATAGGTATCTTGGTTGGTAATCTCCTGTGATTTTGTTGACTTTCAAGGAACCTACACCAAGAAAATTATAACAACACAAGAAAAATTGAATAAAAACCCTAACCGTACAAACTTTCATTTTTAATTTTAATAATTCAAAACAAAAAACTGGTTCATATTTTACAAATGCCTTTTTAAATGCTTTATTTGAAAGAAAAATATTAACTAATTAAGTTTTTTAAACTTTACTAAATTACTTTTATTCGGTTATTAAAAAGTTATGTTTTTCTGGTGCTTAGTTGTCTTAATCCTGAGTTGTCTCAGTTCTGAACTGTCGCGGCGCTCAGTCGGCGGTGTTGAGTCGGCGGTGTTGAGTCGACGGTGTTGAGTCGGCGGTGTTGAGTCGGCGGAGTTGACTTGTCCCTTCCTGTAAATATTGCCAGTATGATCATAGAAGGGGACTTTAATTGTGTAGGCATGTAGAAGTTTTTGTAAAATACTTGTTTTGATGTCTAGAGGCGGAATCAAGTTTTGCTTAAGCCCTTTGTTTGGTTGTGTTGCTTTAAGGATCCGCTGAAATTTGAGCACTGGTAAAAATGGTTGCTGAAAACATTAGGTTTATAATACCCAGAAATTCATACCCAGATGTCCTCAAGGACACATGGCACAGTGGTTAAAGGCGTTGGTTAGATCCAGGACAGGACCCAAACGGCCGAAAAAGATGAGGATAATAATCCGAATAATGTAAATAATGTACATAATACCTCATCTCAGAAATATAGACAGACTCTAATGAAAAGAAATTGACACCTTTTTCCATTTCACTGTAAAAGATGTTAAGTACTTCTATCTTTCTTTCTTTCTTTTTCTCACTGAAACCAAGTAGCGTATGTCTTTTGTTTTCTTATGTGATCAAAACGGAATAGTTCGTTAATGAAGTATTAGCAGGAGACGTTAAACAGTTCGTTATTTCATTTCATTTTCTCCCTGAAACCAAGTATCGTCTATGATATGTCAGCTACGTGTTTTAACGCAATCAAAACGGAATAGTCTGTTATTTAGGAGATATTGGCCGGGCGTAACGGTCGTGTAAACTAACTAAAGAATTAACTATCTGTTATGGTCCAAGGTTAGGACCATGGAAGAACAACACAAAACACAACAGTAGAAATAACAAAGAATATATTACACAAGAAATAATACAAGAAGTGAAAAGGTTAGTAAGACTGTCCGACTGATTTGGCGTGATTGCTATCAGCTCGACTCGATTCAATACCGTTGCAATACGGCATAATACCCTCGTCTCTCTTGAGAGGCGTAGTATATATATATATATATATATATATAGAGTTCGGCAGAGTTTATTCTGTCGGTCTAGGTAAGCCCCATGACACTAAAACAGCGAGATACAAGCATAATTTATAATAAAGATGTTACTTTTTATATGGTATATAGGCTGAACATTTTTCTCACCTAACCAAGTATCCTAGCAGAAGCAGTCAACAACACCAACATTCAATGACCTAGCCAGGTCTGTTCATTTACTATCTATCTATCTATCTATCTATCTATCTATCTATCTATCTATCTATCTATCTATTTATCTATCTATCTATCTAGCCAGGTCTGTTCATTTACTATCTATCTATCTATCTATCTATCTATCTATCTATCTATCTATCTAGCCAGGTCTGTTCATTTTATCTATCTATCTATCTATCTATCTATCTATCTATCTATCTATCTATCTATCTATCTATCTATCTATCTATCTATCTAGCCAGGTCTGTTCATTTTATATCTATCTATCTATCTATCTATCTATCTATCTATCTATCTATCTAGCCAGGTCTGTTCATTTACTATCTATCTATGTATGTATGTATGTATGTATCCATCCATCTATCTATCCATCTATCTATTCATCCATCCATCCATCCATCTATCTATCTATCTAGCCAGGTCTGTTCATTTACCATCTATCTATCTATCTATCTATCTATCTATCTATCTATCTATCTAGTTCTGTTCATTTACTATCTATCTATCTATGTATGTATGTATGTATGTATCTATCTATCTATCTAGCCAGGTCTGTTCATTTACTATCTATCTATCTATCTATCTATCTATCTATCTATCTATCTATCTATCTAGTTCTGTTCATTTACTATCTATCTATCTATGTATGTATGTATGTATCTATCTATCTATCTATCTAGCCAGGTCTGTTCATTTTATCTATCATCTATCTATCCATCTATCTATCTACATCTATCTATCTATCTATCTATCTATCCAGGTCTGTTCATTTTACTATCTATCTATCTATCTATCTATCTATCTATCTATCTATCTATCTATCTATCCAGGTCTGTTCATTTTCTATCTATCTATCTATCTATCTATCTATCTATCTATCTATCTATCTATCTATCTATCTAATCTTATTTCTCGGTCCAGTTTTTCTATCAATCTATCTAAAGCTACTTTTTTCTTTCTTTCTTTCTTTCTTTCTTTCTTTCTTTCTTTCTTTCTTTCTCAGTCAATTCGTAACACCCTATATATCGCCCTCAATATAGTTTCTCTCTCCCCATCTATCTATCTATCTATCTATCTATCTATCTATCTATCTATCTATCTATCTATCTATAAAATTCTGTGGCGTCTGTCACACCCTCTACATTAGTTAAACATTGACCGATAGAAACCAAATTTTGTGAATAATTACTAACTGGTAACCGATTACAAAGTACAGTTGGTTTTACTAGGGTGGGCAGCTTAGTCTAATAAATGGTCTTTAATTTTTTGGAAAAATTTTAATTTTTATTATTCAACAGTACCCCCAATATTATTAAAAAATACTTATTTAATAAAAATGCAATAATTTTTTTTGCATATCTTTTCTTTTAATATTTTATATAAAAAAGAATCCATTTTTGCAGCTCGCTTTGCGTTTGCGATAACTATTAACAAATCACAAGACAAAATGCTTCAAAAAGTTGGGATTTAACTCCAGAAAGAAATATTTACGCATGACCAGTTGCGTGTAGCATGCTCAAGAGTTAGTAATACTAAGAATTTATCCTCCGCTGTTAAAAAAAGTAGAAAATAAATTTTCTTAAAATATTGTTTAACATGAAATCCTATAAAATTAAATTAAAGAAATTATTAAAACGCGAAATAGGGTTTTTATCAAAATATTTTTCCAAAAAAAAAAACAACTTATTCAAATTTCATCGATTGGTATGCGAAATTGAACGAAACGTAGTGTTGTTTACATCTCGACAAAAATGCTAGCGATTACTTCAAGAATACTATATGATGTGAGAATTTAAATACGCATCGCCGTGTTGCAAAAGTTCTAGTATTTAATAATCCAGTTTCCCAGTTGGAAGTCAAATAAACATTGTGCTATTAGCGGCCAGATATTCTAAAGGTTTCCTTGTCTAGATGGTATCGCTTTACCAGTGACAGTGACGTTCTCACTGCCAATTTAACATAATATTTGAAATAACACCCTGCCATTCCCATCTACTTGAATTACTCCACTTGAGACAACGAGGCTTGGCTACACTGAATACTCAATAGCATCAGTTTTCCAGTGGCTGTCATAAAATTTTTCTTCTTGTTGCTCGTCTCCAGCTGATGCTCACCAGAGATTATTTCCACCTCATCAAGCAGTCATTGGTGCGTCTTCGGCGATGTTGCTGTCAGCGTGATGTCATCATCACAGCGGAGGTTGAGGTTCCATTTGTATTAAAACAAACCTTCAGGAATTTTTTTCGTTTTAGCAGTTATTGATTAAAGTCCTCAAGTGATGTGTTTTCTGATATTTGGTACAGTAATATGTTTGGGATTGTCTAGCGCCAACTTCCGGAGAAAGATCGTTCTCAATAAGACTTGCAGGCTTTATTCATTTGAAGACATTATAAGCCAAAACAAACAGGAATCAGTTAACAAGAATTTGCAGGAAAAAAAACAGAATAATACACTGGGTTGAAACGGAGGTTCTTTCTCTATTTAGGCTCAAAATAGAGAGAGAGAGCAAGACCCAATATTAAGCAGAATAGTGGAGAGAATAAGAAATAATATATGGAGCAATTATTCGCAGAGCTATGGGTTAGGGTCCACATGGATCACGCACATATCAAGGATAGGGAATTATTCTTAGTGTCAGTATACTCGTACTCAGGATGGCCAGAGATTATCAAAGTAAAAGACAGCAAAGCCACCACAATAAAGCAAGTACTAAGAACTATATTCTCAAGGAATGGTGTACCCCAGGCAGTACTCACTGACAACGCATCTGAATTTTGCGATGAGAATTTGTGCCTAGAAGCCTAGAAGCGTATTTACCGAAAATGCTTCTCAGTTATAGATCCAGGAAGAAAGCTAAACTCTTCTGTATTAATGCGCAGACAGATCAGAGGCCCCATAACTATGTCCTTTTCAACGAAAGAAAAGGTACGGTACAGGAAGAATAAAGAGGCTGATCCAGAAGAATCAAATTTCCTGATACAAAAAGGACACAACACGGCTATACTGGAAAAAAAAGGGACAAAATATACTAGCACATGCCGATCAATTCAGAAGCAGAAACGATTTAGATGTGGAAATAGAAGATCAAGAGCAAGAAGAGACAGAAGATCACAAAAGTGGAACAGAGCAGAAAATGGAAGAAAGTGAGAAGGAAAAGACAGACGAGAGTAAAGAGGAAAATGAAGAAAGACAAAGATCACTATTAAAGAGAAAACATGAAAGGCAAGAGGAAGCAGAGCACAGTATGAGAATAATCCGAAATACTAAAAGGAAGAACAAGGGTGTCCGGCATCTTCGATTCAGGGAGGTGTAGTATCGTATGCAAATGAGAATGACAACATAAATAGAGAGCAGATGGTGAAGAAAGCAGCATTATTCAGCGAACCTGTTTGCTAAACGTAAACGCTAAAACCATGCCCCGACTGCTACTACCCAGAGAGAAATACACAACATAACACTATCATTCTCTTCCTCTCCAAGTAACCTCTTAACTGGACATAAAGTGTGTAAATCTGCCCATTTCTTCTTGGTCTTTTGAACGGGAGTATAAGTTTATCCCTTGTTTCTTCTTCAGGATTGGGTTTCCGGTACCTTTTGAAAATCCTTTCATTCCCTTTCTCTCCAAGTAACCACTTAACTAGACATAAAGTGTTTAAATCTGTCCATTCCTTCTAGGACTTTATTACAGGAGTAGTGGTTTATCACTTGTTTCCTGTTTAACATTGGGTTTCCGGCTCCTTTCAGTGTCTCTTCATTCTCTTTCTCTCCCAGTAATCTCTTAATTAGACATAAAGTGTCGATTCCTTCTCTGTCTTTTGAACAGGAGTAGATATTTATCCCTTATTTCCTGATTAGGATTTGGTTTCCGGTTCCTTTTTAAAATCATTTCATTCTCTTTCTCTCCCAGTAACCTCTTAACTAGGTATAATATGTGTAAATCAGTCCATTCCTTCTTGGTCTTTTGAACAGGGGTAGAGATTTATCCCTTATTTCCTGTTTAGGATTGGGTTTCCGGTTCCTTCTAAAGTCCACGTCATCTCTATACTCCTAACGTTTTCGCTTACACTTGGATTTTTTAATGCCTATTTATTTTTCCATAATAGTAATAGATAGGTTTACGTATTGTCCAGTTAATACTTTCCTTGGTCTTTTGGACAAAATTAAAGGATTATTCCTATTCAGGATTAGCTTTCCTGCTCCATCTGAATCATTTTTACTATATTTCATTCCCAGCAGCCTCTTGGATCTTAGTTGGATTATCACATTGCTTGGCTTGAATTGATTAAAAAAAAGAATAACATATTTTTTTGTTTCTATCTTAACATGTGATAGGAATTTCTTGCCAACCTAATATGAAATCAATTTTTAAAAAAAAGACATGTAGATTGAAAATTTACTTTTATTATATCACAAAAAACATACAATAATATTCACTTCAAAATGTGGCAAATATTTTAAAATTGAAGAAACTTTAGTCACACTGATAACATATTAATTGAAGTCTTCTTATAGCGTCTGAAGTGTTTTCACGGCATGTAAGTTGTAGCGTCTTCTACAGTGCCTGCAATACCGTTCTACCATACAGCAACTCCATCCATTTCAAAAGAAATACAATCTAAAAATCAGTTTGGCTACGTTTCTTGAAATACGGCACCATTTTAAGATGATTGAAGACACGAGTTCTTAGACCTTGGAGTTTTGGGTAATTGGTCAACATACTGGGGTTTTCTTGAAGCGGATTTTCGAGAGTGGCATAACACATCATGTCGGCCATTGTCAACTAAAAAAAACGAGAAAAGTAGAAAGCTAGAAAGCATGAAAAGAGATTTTTATCGCTGAAACCTAATTTGCTTATTTTTTTTTATATATATTCTTCAATATAGTCCCGATGGATAATTGAGAAAATTACGAATCTCGGAGGTGATATCGATAAATATTGAACATTATTATATCAAATTCAATAACCATTTTTTATAATTGTTTAGACAATTATATGAGTATTTTTCCACCAGATTTCGGCTGCTGTGTTCTCCAGCCACCAAAATATCAATATAATCAACATATATCCCATATCAACCAATCAACTGTCACCTGATAATGACCAGAGCGTACTTAGTCGAAACGTTGTGTCTATAATAAAATCTATATTAATGAAGCTGAGAAAAATAGTTGTAAATAATACAAGTATATTGACACTTACTCGTCTCTGAAATGAAATGCTAAAGTATAAAATGTGGTTCGAAGTAACTATCGTAGCCAAATTTCAAAAACCACCTGACATTGAATATAAAAGGCTCCAAAAATACACAACTAGTGTTCTTCAGGACGGTGGCGTAGGCAATATGGTACCTGATTATTATTTTTTTTTCGTATTTTTCTAATGAAACATGACCTAGTGCACATGTTAGGATTTCGTGCGTCCATTCCACGAAATTGTTCCCTGGAGATTGACCACAGATTCTCGATTGGATTTAAATCAGGAGAGTTTCCAGGCCAATCTATAATGCTTTGATTTGCTCACTGGTAAGGCTTGCTAGTGGGTCCGTGGAGCGTTACATTTTTTCTATGCTTCAGTCGCAGACAATTGCCTTAGGACAACTAATCGACAGCCGAGATAATAGTGTTTAGGCATGACAAAAATCTGATTCAATCACGGATTACAAAATATTTTCCAAGACCAAACAAATTTCATCATACAACCCGAAAATAGATTCATATAATCTGAGAAAAAATAGAAATCGATTACATCCTGTCATTCCAGTGGGTTTAAATCTGATTGTATGGTGAAAGACATAAACTAAAACGGTTGTTTCAATTAATTTGCACAAGGGTGTATGTCTACTTTTTAAATCTAGCCTAAAGAGGGGTTATGTTTACTGCATTTTACTCTAGATTAAACCAGTTTTATAGCTACCTTTTTTGTTATTTTTCCCTGAACTGTGCCAATTTGTGATCTAATATAAACCGGACTTCTGGTTACCTTCTTTGATTCGAGGATAAATCGAATATACATCTAACTGACGAGTTCCATATTTTAGTTCCACCACTTCAGACCTTTACAGCTATAAGCCACCACGTTAGGTCCACATCCTTCGTATTCCTTTAGTAAGGAAGAAGAGTCACTAAGACATCCTCTTCCCGAGAACC